GCCTCATTAATGGGAAAATGGATAAACTGTGGCATTTTCATACAATGGGATACTATTCAGCAATGAGAAAAGTATAAAATATTGCTTCATTGGGGCGCCTGGGTGGCGCAGTCGGTTAAGCGTCCAACTTCAGCCAGGTCACGATCTCGCGGTCCGTGAGTTCGAGCCCCGCGTCAGGCTCTGGGCTGATGGCTCAGAGCCTGGAGCCTGTTTCCGATTCTGTGTCTCCCTCTCTCTCTGCCCCTCCCCCGTTCATGCTCTGTCTCTCTCTGTCGCAAAAATAAACGTTGAAAAAAAAAAAATTTAAAATATTGCTTCATTGAACAATAAGGATGAATCTCATGGGCACCCTGTTGAGTGGAAATCAGACGCAACAGATTAAATGTGTAATCTGTATCGAGTTCAAACAACAACGACGACAAAACCAATCTATAAGTGACAGAATAGCGGTCTCCCTTGGTGAGATGGAGTAGATAAGGACTGGGAAAGGTCATTAGAGTGATTTTGTTTACTTGTTTGACTGAAATATATTGACCTAGAACACTACTGCCAGGCGTACAACATAAAGATTCAACATTTGTATGTACAGGATGCTTGGACTATTCTGGTTCTTGTAGTTCTAGAAGAGTTTTAGGACTGTTTCTTCTATTTCTGTGAAAAATATGATAGGGATTGCACTGAATGTATAGATTGCTTTGGGTAGGACGGACATTTTCACAAAACGGGTTCTTCCAATCCCCGAGCACAGAGCATCTTTCCATTTACTCGCATCTGCTTTCTTTCATCAATGTCTTACAGCTGTCAGTGTATCGGTCTTTTACATGCTTGGGTAGCAAAGTAGCTTTTTCGGGCACTAGAAAGGTTCTGTTTAACAAGGTAGACACTGATTAAAGGGGTAGAATATGTGTACACTTTTTGTGCATTTTGCTGTTGTGTGTGATATGTTAAAATGGTTACTTATTTCTAACAATAGCTATTGTATACTATAGGGATTAGTTTATTACCATGTACAGCTAATAACCATTCTTATTTACTTTACAGGAGCCCGAACAGTTCTTAAGAAGCTGTTTCATTAAAACTCAGACTTTGCCAAAGCGAGACGTTGGAGTGAGCTATTTCTTTTGAATAAAAAAACATTTTGCATTTAAGTATCTGCTGCATTTTCTATGCCCAAATAAGTTACAGTGGCAACTTGCAAACCACAAATAAATGGTTGATGGAAAGCAGGCAAACCATATTTCTTAGAAATTAATTTAGTACCTTGCCACTAAGCTAATGTTTCCTTAGGTTTTTCCAGGCCCCGGGGAGCTATTAGTGAACTCAGAGTAATTACTTTCATAGAGCCTCATCGTGGCACAGAGCCTTAGTACCCCCACTAACAGTTTTTGAAAGAACACTCTTCGTGTGAGGTTGCTTTGAACACGTCTTCCATTGTCCACAGCCTAGATAAGGAAAACAAAGCATGCTGCCTTGGGGACTCAGTCTAATTTTTAAAATAAAAGATAATTATGCACTTTCAGTAGATAAGTTTTAACAACACCATCTTTTATTATTATAGTTAAGTTTTATTAACACCATTAATGTCACACTGTATTAATGTGCCCACGTGAGCTTCAGGATCTGTAATACCCACGTTGCTTGCTGCTCTTCTAAGTTGTTTTGGGGGTTTTATTAGTTGTGGCCACTTACTAGGAGATCTACCCTCTTAAGAGATTGTTAAGTCGCAAGAGAACACGGTCATCTACAGCCTCAGTGTTGCACAGGAGGTCTCTAGAACTTACTCAGGAGATGACACAAAGGTCATCTTTGCAGTGACACATCCCCAGCCACTGTATCGGAAATTATAGATTGCTACCCACCTTCTCCAAACTACCAGATGCGACAGGTGGCTCCCCCCTCCTCAGACCGCATCACTACATGCCATGGTGCGTTTGTTACAGATTTATCTTGTTTGTCATCTGTCTGCCCTACTATACCACACGCTCCATTTTTTCTACTGCTGAATCCTCAGTGCCCAACACTACACCTGGCACAGAGTAGCCATTCAATAGATAGTTGCTGAATCAAAGGACAGACACCAACTAACCTAGATTTCAAATGTTTAAAGAAATTTAAAGTCTCGGCCATTTCTCAGATCTGTTTCCATCGGTAAGTATCTCTTACATTACAAATTTTGTTTGGAGTTTCAATGCGACAGGTCGCAATTATAATGTAATGGTTCCCTGCATGCTTGCTTAAGTATGCTAATGTAAAGAACTGGCCAACAACGGACTCATTTAAAAATTTCTTTAAAAGAAAATTAGCTGTTTAAAGCAAAAATTTAAGAATGCAATGTAGAGTTTATAACAATGTAGACATGAAATGTAGGACAGTAATAACACAAGGGACTGGATAAGGGGTATAGAGGGCGTCTGGGTGGCTCAGTCGGTTAAGCATCCGACTTCGGCTCAGGTCATGATCTTGCGGTTCGTGAGTTCGAGCCCTGCGTCAGGCTTTGTGCTGACAGCTCAGAGCCTGGAGCCTGTTTCAGATTCTGTGTCTCCCTCTCTCTGTCTGACCCTCCCCCATTCATGCTCTCTGTCTCAAAAGTAAATAAATGTTAAAAAAATAAAAAATAAAAAAAAAAAAGAAACATTGCCTTGTAAAAATCTTGGATTAAATATTGTATCATGTTAAGTAGATGATTAAAGATGCATATTATAGGGGCACCTGGGTGGCTCAGTTGGTTAAGCATCCAACTTCGGCTCAGGTCATGATCTCACCACTCGTGAGTTCAAGCCCTGCATCAGGCTCTGTGCTGACAGCTCAGAGCCTGGCGTCTGCTTCACATTCTGTGTCTCCCTCTCTCTTTCTGCCCTTCCCCCCTCTCAAAAATAAATAAAAACATTAAAAATTTTAAAGATGCATATTATAAATCCCAGAGCTACCAAAATTCACAAAACAGGAGGTATAATTAATCAATCAATAAATAGTGCAGATAATATTTAAAATACTAAATCTAAAAGAAATCAGGAAAAGGAGGAAAAAAGACAATGGCAGGAATAGAAAACAAAAAGCAGATATAAATTCAGCCATAATGTTAATTAACTATATTTAGAAATAAATGATCTAAATACTCCAGTTAAAGGGGACATTGTCACAATGAATAAAAAGCAAGACCAACTATATTTTGTGTATAATAAATGCCCTGCAAATATAGATACAGATAAGCTAAGGATGATTAGATTGAAAAAGATACCTCCAGCAAACGCTGATCTTAAGAAAGGTGTGCTGGTTCTTAAGAGTAAGGAATATTACCGCGGCACATTCCTGTGTATACCAACGTACATGAGGACATCTCATCACGATCAAAGTTAATCCACCAAAACAGAAGTTTAAATAGACACACCACCCAAAGCACACAAAGCAGAAACTGACAAGAGGTGAAAAGACAGACGATTCCAGTTACTGCTGGAGGTTTCAGCATGCCTCTAAGTGACTGACAGCAAGGAGACAGAATACCAGCGAGGACACAGAAGACGTGAACACCCTTTAACTGACACTTAGGGGACACGCCACTCTCAATAGAACACATATTCTTAGGGCATGTCGAACACTAACCAAAAGAGGCCCTATGCCAGGCCATAACACAAGTCTCGACAAATTGAAAACGGATGAGATCACACGCAGAGCATATTGTCTGTCTATAACAAAGTCAGGAATAAATAAGGGAAATCAGAAAAAGCATCCAATATTTACAAATGTAAACGTATTTCTCAATAACTCGTGGGTCAAAAAGAAATCACCAAAAAGTATTTTCAAATGAATGGAAATAAGCGTACAAAATGTCAGTATTTGTGGAATGTAGCTCAAGTAGTATGAGACTCATACGCAGCTTTAAATGCTTATATTAGAAAAGAAAGGTCTACGTCAATGATCTAATAAGCTTGAAAAGAAGCTAGAAGTGAGCAGATTAAACCCCCAGAGTATGTCAGTCCAGCACAGTTCACTTCAGAGAAATTATTTGAATGGATTACTGAGGTTTAGCCATAGGCTTCAGCCTCTGCTGGTAATTTGGAGGCACTGCTACTTGGCTGATACTTAAGAAACTTGATGGGGCTGCTCTTACATGGAGGTCAAGGCTAAAACTAGAGCAGCTCTTGCCTCAGGAGCCCTTTGTATTTAAATACAACTTACGGGGCGCCTGGGTGGCTCAGACGGTGTGTCTGACTTCGGCTCAGGTCGTGAGCCCCCACGTCAGGCTCTGTGCTGACAGCTCGGAGTCTGGAGCCTGCTTCAGATTCTGTCTCTGTCTCTCTGCCCCTCCCCTACTCGCTCTCTGCCTGTCTCCCAAATATAAAAAACATAAGAAAAAAGTTTTTTTAAAAATGCAACTTAAGAGCTTGCATCGGTCAGTTCTCTTTCCTGGTTAGTGTCTCAAAACCATGTGACTGATAATTAACAATTATATCCCTTCAAAGGTAGGACAGGAACAAGGAGACAAACTTCAAACTTCTTGGTGCTGCTTGAAGTTAATTTGAGAATCCAGTTTGTTCTAACAACGGATAAGGAGGCTACACTGAATAAAGTCTGAACCACTGAAAAAGCCACATGGGTACATTTTAGACACAAAGAGTCACTCTCAAGATTTTTTCCAGATAGAAGACCTGCTTTTTACATGAGTATTAATGTGCAAATAAATGCTCTTCATATTTGATATGGTTTATTATATCTTTTATTTTATTTTTTTTAAGTAGGCTTCACGCTCAGCACAGAGCCCAACGCGGGGCCAGAACTCCCCACCCTGAGATCAACACCTGAGCTGAGATCAAGACTCAGATGCTTCACCAACTGAGCCAGCCGGGTGTCCCTAATATGCTTTATTTTATAACAGAATTAGAGACGTTTCTCATGAAACGTGCTGCTTATGTTATTCATTAGTTTAGCTAATTCCTCAGAAGTTAGTGATAACTTTCTGAGAATAAGGCAGTTATAAAAAAAATGCATGTTATGCCCCTTACCAATGTGAGCTCTGTCAGATATGATAAGCCTTTTTTCCCAGCCTTCCAGACCTAGAGGGAAGGAGAAAAAAGATACGGTTAACTGAACACTTTGTATAATTTTTAAACCTTAATTTCTTTAGGGATACAAGTGTTTTTCACGGAAGTAATCACTAACACATCTTGTCTTCTGTACAGGATACATATTTAACAGGAATGTTCTGACCAGTCATTCATTATATATACACTCATGCACAAATTCTATCTTTTTAAATGTTTAACTCTAAAACGCTTCAAACTCAAGCCAGCCGGAGCCACATAAAATACTTCTAAGAATCCAAAAGCAAATGGTGGGGAAATGTCATTTTTGTTAGAGGCAGGGGAGGGGGAATTTGCTGCAGAGCAGGAGAAGAATTTTAAGAAAAGGGAGTTAATTTGGGGAATGGCACCCTTTCCCAAAAGACAATTATAAAAAGTGGGATTAGAGGCGCCTGGGTGGCTCAAGCGTCTGACTTCAGCTCAGGTCATGATCTCACGGTTCGTGGGTTCAAGCCCCGCATCAGGCTCTGTGCCGACAGCTCGGATCCTGGAGCCTGCTTCGGATTCTGTGTCTGCCTCTCTTTCTGCTCCTCCCCTGCTCGTGCTCTGTCTCTCTTTCTCAAAAATAAATAAACGTTTAAAAATTTTTAAAAGGTTAAAGAATTTAAAAGGAGACAGCACCATGTAGGTAAAAATGCAGGGAAGCCAAGAGGGATGAGAGCCGCAGGCAGCCAGGATTCTGTGACATCACATCAAACTGTCAGGAACACTTGAGGTTGGATTGCTACTTTTAAACTTGAACAGCGAAATCGAATTGAGTATTTCCAACGAGCCAGGCTAAGGGCAAACAGTGCTTTTCCTCAACTGCGTATTTATTATTTGCGTTGCCAAGTGCCCCTCAAAGCCCAGGAAGGCAGCCAAACTGAATGTAAACAGACTTCCACAAATCCCAAAGAGATTAGCAAAGGCAGGAAATTAAGGCTTTAAAAAAATTGTTCTTAAGGAGATGGGAGTGAATCATGTCATAGAAAATGCATCTCCCTCATGTGGAGGGAGGGACAGAAACAACCCTGTTTTATCCCAGGGTTATACAACCCATGGGAACGACACTGACTGACTGTGTGCAAAGGGGACCTCACTGGTTTCCTGACTCCCACAAGCTAACGTTTGGTTTGGGAGGTGGGGATGATGAATCTCTGGAGTTTCTCCACCAGCGAACGGACAGTGATTCCAGGAGCCTGAGGAGAAACTCTATGGATGACCTGGGTGTCAAGAAATCAGGGCTTACACAATTACCTTATTCTGTTTGTCTTCTGTTTACAATACTGATCATACTGAATAAAACGTAACCGACATTGAAAACATTTGTCCTACAACAACCTGCAATTTTAAAGTATAAGACAA